ACATTTAGGTCTATGAACCCAAAAGAAATGAGTGCAAAAGCCACACTCATGAATGTTCACAGCTGCTTCATCCATAATAACTATAACACAACCTGCATGTCCATCCCAGTAGAACAGGTAAATAAATTGTGGCATATTCACACAGTGGGATAGTATACAGCAATGAAGAGGAACATGAGTGCTATACACAACAATATGGATGTATCTCACACAACACTGAGCAAAAGGAACCTGACATAGAGGAGCACACACCGAATGGTTCCATTTAGATGAAGCTCCAAAACAGGTGAAAGACATCTCAGGGTTAGTGGTACTGATTGGTAAAGGGCACAAAGGGACCCAATCGGATATTCGGGCATATGTTCTTCATCTTCAATGAAAGTGTTTTCCCAAGACCTTACTTGTACAAGGGTTTGTTCTAGACCATATTCATTGTAAACTGAGGTTTTGCCTTCTGTCCCTTTAACCTCCCTCCTTTACTTCCAGTTCTGTTACAGACATCTCTAGGCTCATTCTTCCCAGTGGAAAAGAAATTTCAAGATTCAAATTTCCTCTTAAAACAGAGAAGAGAGAGTTTGCCCCTATTCATGATTGCAGATATTAGCCTCCTATTTAATTTCCTTTTGCTGAGTCAAGGAGATTGGACATGAAGTGGCTTTTTATTGCTTGTTTTAAAAAGGAGCTTGGTTTTGTTGGAAGAGGTCAACTCCTTTTATCCCTCCAAGGAATTATTATCTTTATGGCCCAAATAGAAGGAATTGGGGCCAGTCTAACTTAATGTGGTAGGGAGAGCCTTTGAAAGTAAAAAACAAAACAAAACGCCCTAACAATTTGGGGCATATTCCCTTTGAGTTCCTCAATGAAATAAGTCTATGATTTGGTTAAGTATCTACAATTCAAGGACAACTTAATTTGCACAGCAAGTTTCCTAATTTTGGATGCTAAAAGCATTGTTCTTGAGGATCAGCCATTCAGGTAATTCTGGGGGATCTTAATTGCATTAGATTGTATTCAATTAGAGAGGAGAGAGGAGAGGTGTAAATGCAAAGGTTGGAGCATCTGGTACCAAAGAGACCATCCCGAGGACATGGGCTCTGCCCAGGAAAGGGGCACTTGGGCCTCAGAAGAGAGGCCCTTGTATCCAGCTGCCCATGTCATTGGCTTGGCATTCTGGTTCCTGCAGGAGCCTGGGTCACCGCAGCAGCGGGCTGTGATAGAAAGCTCCAGGCCTCAGAGGGCAGGCAGCCCTGGGTTCAAATCCTTTATCTCCTTACCTCCCTGGGGCAAGTGATATGTCTTCTCTGAGCCCATCCATGTAAGGGGGGTGTTTGCACCATCTGCCTCGTAGATTAGCATGAAGATAGATGGTGAGGCATGTAAGTGTCTGGGGTAGCACCCAACACGTAATCAGTAGGCAGATCCTGGGTTCAGATTTAGACATGACTGGCTTTGGGTGCCTATGGAAATCAAGTCCTGGTCTGGAGTTCTTATCAGAGGCCCAGACTAGAGATGGAGATTGGGGAGTTAGTTGGCCTAGAAGTGGAACATGCAGACCTTGGGAGTGTGGTTGTGTGCATAGGGGAGAGGCAGGGCACTGGTAGAAGAGAAGGTGCCATGTGGAAGGGCCCAGAAAGAGCAGTCAGAGAAGAAGAGAGGGGCTCACTTGCAGGGAACAAAAGCAGTTGGCCCTTGCAACCCTTCATGAAAAAGGTAGGGTCAGAATTTACCACTCATGTTGGAGAAGCCTTTTATCCTTATGTTAAAGAGGTTTTTTTTGTTTTGTTTTGTTTTTGAGTTGGAGCCTCACTCTGTCACCCAGACTGGAGTGCAGTGGCCACTCCCG